AGCTGCCTCGGCAGAGCAGACGGAGCTCAGGGTTCTCCACTGAGCTCGCGGCCCCACAAAGAGCCCGGGAAGTCTTATTTATAGGGGCGGAGGCGGGGCCCGACCCCGAGAGGCCCCGCCCTCCCTCGCCCACTCCTGGAATAACGTCACCAAAATCATGAATGGCTTCAGTGCTTGCAGATCCCGCGGGCGGCAGCTCGGGGGCGCGCTCGGCTCTGCTCCTCGAGGGCCGTGGTTTGCTGCAGCTTCTAGTCCGCCCCCCTGCCCACGACTCATACACGCAGACACACGCGCGGATACGCGCGCGCGCGCACACGCACGCACGAACTGGGGCTGGAGTTCAATGTCAATGCCGCCTCGAGCTTACAAACCAGCCCGCGTTGGCGCCCCCTCCCTGCACTCACCCCTAGGGACTTGGGGTCGCGAGGACCCTGGGCCTGAGGAGGGCGCTGGACCCGCTCCTCGGGACATGACCGCCTGGCGACCGCGCTGCGCTGAGGGAGGGCGCCATCCCTGGATCCTGGCCGCCCGGCACTAGCGCTCTCCTTTGCACTCACTCGCCGCCCCTGGCCCGCACCTCAGAACCCTGCTTCAACGTCCATCCCCCAAACTAGGCCTCTCCTTGGCACCCTCGCCTGCGGCACCTCGATCACTGGTCCCCTCTATCCCTGGCAAGCTGTGTGGAAATGAGAACAGCGCTTAAAGAAACACTGGGAGGCGGGAGGGGACACGGAGCTGGGGGGAGCCCGAGGGGGTCGCGTTAGCATTCGAGGGGCTAGTCCTGAGATCCATGGTGTGTTTTGTTTGTGTGAGAAAGAAGTGTCGTCTTAGGGTTTTTCCATTGGACACACACAGACACACGCGCGCGCACACGCACACAGCAGCGGCGCGGTGCCGGGGTGCGGGGTGGGTGCTGCTCAGCACACCTCACCAGCCTTGGCTCCCAGATCTGCTCCAAGGAGAAGAAACAAAGAGCTTCGGCGGGACCCCTCCACACTGCCCTGGAATCGCAACTCCAAGGGTTTGTCCAGGCAGGCAGTCTGCACAGCCCCAGCGCCGGGATGGGAGCCTGCCCCTCTGTGGCTGGAGTGCATTGCTTCATACCTCTGCTCCAAAAACTCCTGTAACATGGCTTTATAACCCTGACCTATGTGTGTACTTGGAGGACGCGCGTGTGTGTGTGTGTGTGTGTGTGTGTGTGTGTGTGTGAGGGGGTGGGGCGAGGGCAGGTATCAAAAACTTGGCAAATTAAAATGCGCTTTAAAGTCAGCCAGCTCTTTGAAAGGTAGTGAATGTATTGAATCCATCTATATGCACTTAAAGGTGGAAATGAATAATCTATCTCAAGTAAAGGCTGATAGGTATTAATGGTGAGGGCGTAACAGAGGTGTAATTTTCATCAGGCCACCTAATCTATAAGAATGGATGAGTACTAATTATGTATATAAAAAAGAATGGATAAGAATAAATAAAAATAATTTTTGCTATTTTTAGTCATTCATATATACAATCTGAGTAAAAACTGTACTTTCTAGGAAAATGCAGCTTCGAGACAAACCCCCTAGTTGCTCCCTCCCAGCAGTGAAATTCAGGAGCTTCTCCCCACCCCCCACCCAAGAGTTAAACCAGAAATTGACTTGCCCTGCCAAGTACCACCCGCATTCTGCTCCTCTGGAGGAGGTGTCCTGCTGGAGGGCAATGCTTCTATGGACAGGAGCTGACGGGGGAGGCTCCAGGTGTGGGCTTACCGCTGGGGACTGGCTGTTTGTGCCTTTTGCATAGGATGGGGCAGCTTCTCAAAGGCTGGGTATGACGCTGTCATTTACGCAGGTAACCAAAGGAGAAGCCAATGGTTTCTGGGCTGGGACTTTGGGAGCCCTGAGCTCGGTCCTGGGCAAGCAGCACTGATGCCTCTCGCCGTGTCTCCCCAGTAGCCATCCCTGGCAGGACCGGGATGAAAGGACTTGTCTCACGACTTTCACGTACCAACAACCCCGCATTATATATTTGTGATTATTGCTTTGTGAAACTTTCAAAACTCGGAAAGAGACCCTCCTCACACACATATATAACCTTGAAGTGTCAAAATGGCCTCATAGAGGAGCAGAGGGTGGGAAGTAAGACCTCCATCAGCAGATATCTGGCCTCCGGAAAAATTCCCTCTATTGGAGAACACTGAGGTGCCTACCCTAAGGGAAATGTTGTATGAATGCCCATTTTAAGTAAATTAAACCAAGCCTTGGGCTGTGACCCCCAAATCTACACTTTCTGTTTCCCTTCTGAGACCACAGTGACACATCCATTCATTTGAAAACACGGGCGGCATGGGGCTGAACTTGGATACAACTATAGCAAGTATGCCATTTCTCAATCAATACTTTATATAGTGCCCTGTGGTTTTTCAAAGCATTTTCATAAACTCAGCTCTCTAATGAACATAATAAGAGTAACATAGCACAACGAACAGACCCCAGTTTACAAATATTCAAACTGAGGCTGAAATAAATTAGGGGATTTGCCAAAGATCACAGAGCTATCCTGTTACGTTGTTCTGGGTTACAGCATTTCCTTCAGATTTTTAAAGATAGGGGTATCGGTCACGCAGAATGACCATTTCTTCTTAATATCCTCTGAGCTAGGTTCCTATCCCACTGCCTTTGAATAAATGAAGAAAAAGAAACACAAGGGAAT